ATTACACCCCCAGCTGCCACACCAGATCAACTTTGGCAACGTGTGGAGGCTGCTTGGTCTTCTGTACCCCCAAGAACACATCCAAAGTCTCTTTGAATCAATGCCAAGGCGTGTGGCAGCGGTGATCTCCAACAATGGTGGCTACTGATTCTGGCAGGAACCACACTTCACAGAAGTCTATAAATTTAATCATTTGATACTTGGTCAACATGTTATCTACAAAATAAATTTTGTTGCGATATCTCTTGTCTTTCTTGGTGTTGCATTTATGGTGGCCAGCAGTGTAGCTGCTAAATATAATTACTTAATACACAATATCTATCAATAATTAATTGCCTTAAAAAGCTGTTTAAAATTCGAAATTGAGGTAATACATTCTATCAAAGAGCTAACTAAATTATTGTTAATTTCAGTGGCATAATCTCTAGTTTTTTGGATATTATTATAGCATGTGTCTGCTATTTTTAATTCTTCCTGTCACAACTGCATCAGGGCCGCGGTAGCCAAGTGGTCAAGGTATCTGATCATGGCTGGCGTGTCATGAGTTCGAGCCCAGTACCACTGAAGACCCGCCGTGTAGAGGAGCGATGCACGTTAAATCTGTCGAGAGCTCAAACGTCCTCCCGTTGGTGTAGTAGTTAGTAGAGAGGGGTGCCTACTCAGGTGTCGCCATCATCACTTGACCATGGTTCAAAATTATGATGTCCGTCGCCAAAAGCCCTCGTGTAGCTGAACAGTGCGACGTTAATCTTCACTCAGTCACAACTGCATCAGCTGAAAGTTTAGTACAGTAAATGGCCACTCTTTCTGTAGAGTGGCTAGTGACGCTGACCATTGAGCCCTTGGGCTTGGGTTCGAATCTCGGAGAAGAAATGGATGTTTGTAAATGTAAAGAGCCTCTACAAGGGGTACTCTAAGTAGACTGACCACTCTCAGAGTGTTTTCTCACAAAATTGGAGCGGAACCGAGCCAAATCGTATTGTCAACTGCATGGTGCTCAGAGCTACGGCTAATAACAGGCGTAAGTTACTAGCCCCTTGCCGTGATGAATTTCTTGGACCTCGATCTGACACCACCAGGCAGATGGCATTAGAAACAAGAACATCGCAGTAAAATATCATAATTTAAAATTTTTAAGTTTATATTTTGGAAACAAAATTCCATTAAACTGAAGAGACAGTTGATAAATTGTCTCTTTTGAAAAATTAATACGAGGGAACTGTCATCAATAATAAGCCCAAGATATTTAATAGTGAACCATTTCTATAGTAACATTGGTGATTT